AAATGTAGTCATTGAAAGATTCACTACACACAAGTTTATAGGAAAGCATTGTTTCGAGCTTTATACATCCTTTCCCTGAATTCTAGTTCTGGGGCAAAATGGAGTAAAGAGTGTTCCTGAAAGTAGGAAGTTCATGTAGTTTGCGTACAGGGAATAAATTAAAAATCTGCATCTCTATAATGATTAATATTGAATGTCTGAAGATGTGTAGTGTCTCTGCAGCTAGTGGAAGTATTCAGAGGTATTCGAGTATTTAGAGGTATTTCTGCTGGAAACTTCCCTGTAGGAAGTTATTACCCTTTTTGCTTTCTCATGGGCTTCAGTGCAAAATGACCAGGTCAGCAGACAACTGCAGTCTATTTTCTGTGAAGACAAGGGATTTTTGTAGCAGATGTGGCTTATGTGGTCTGTTGCAACTTAGCTGAGAGGAAGGTAATTTCCAGTATGATAACAGTAGTAAGTAGGTTGCAGCAATAATTTCTTAAACCTCTTCAAACATTTGCTAAATGGTTGTATCCTGTTTATTATTATTATTTTGATTTCAGTCAAGTCAAGTATGACTATGACTACATCGGGAGTTTACCTTTATTGGGTCAGTTAGTGGGCAGCATCAATATCAGCTCAATGCGCAGTCAAGAGACAGTCCTAATTTATAGAAGTAATGTTTGTATTAGTGTCAGTGCAAGTCACAATTGTTTCTTTGCCTACCCAAAGAAGTTAGCTCAGATGCTGAGTGTGGGTAAAAATTCGTCATGGAGGGCATGCATCAGGAAACCTGACAATCGTGCTTTTGTTTCATTCTGATCATCCTTGTGTTTCTCTGTTTTTATGTTAACTTCTGAATTTGGAATCATTCATTGTGAATTCTAATTTTTTTATCTAACCTGATATTAAAGCTTAAAGAAAATGAACAAAATTTGAGTAATATCGGATTATACAAGGGATAAGTGGCACTGCAGCAGAGTTATGATTTGTTAGCTGCATTAAAAAAGACAGGAAATAATATCAGTGAGGTTTAGTTAGCACAACAGAGACTGTTGACATCCGAGTATCGGTCTTATTTTTCCATTAATTCTAGCACCAGGAACTGGGATTAACCAGTGACAAGTGTTAATTCAAAACTCTGCTGGCACTGCACGCTTCCTGGACAAGAGTTATTTGAGTTCTGCAGCTTAAGAGTTTATATATCATGGAAATATATACTGATAGTGAAGAAGCCAGCACAAAAGATAATGCAGCTTACTGGCTGTGAATTAAAGGCTTTTATTTTGTCACAGAGCAACTCTTGCAAACAGTTTTATGTTAAATTATATGGTTAGGTTATTTATTCCGGTGAGAAGCAAATGTTGGTGCATTTTAGCGTTTCATTTGTAGTCAACTAAAAGAAGTGGTTTCCTGAAAAGTGTGTAAATTTTCCCTGCTGTTTTCTTCCAAAATCTGTTCTTCTTTAAAAATGTAAATCAATGACTCACAGTCAAACCTCAGACATTTGTACTATATTGCATTTTGGCAAATTGTCATTTGACCATAAAATTTCAGTAACCAGGATCCAAAATCTTGGGCTTGTTATTAATTAGATCCAGACCTAGCAAAAAGCTGTTATTCAAACTTTCCACTGAAAGAGATACTCTATCCTCCTAAGAGGAAGTTCATGCTGTCATTCAGTTCACTTGCAGCAACAGGATTCTACAAACAGTAGAGCCACTACCAACTGCCCAGCTCTCGTGAAAGGCAATGTACAGTACAAACTGTTCTATTCTTAACCGTGTGACAGATGCATAGAAGACCCCTTACCATTTTATTCATAGTAAAAAGCCATTTTCTAACATTTCTTTTCAGTTATTAATTTTTCTTTCCTTGCTTTTAAGATCACACCTCTGAATTAAATTCTAGTTTCCTGTGTTGCTTTATACTAATACTTGATTTTCGTGATTCACTTTACAAACTCTGTATAGGCAAATCTATCAGTATAAGATTTTTTGAATTAATCATCAGTCAGATGTTATAATGTATAGTCTATTGGTCAACTGTTTCTAGATTTTGTTGACTGCTAGTTCAGAAGCTGAATGTTTGTTCATGTGTACACATCTACATGTATGCTATGCTCCAGGATTATTGAATTCCCTTGCCACTACTCCTCTTCCTGCCACAAAACATCAACCTAACAATAACAAGGCTTTAAAAGTAATAAAATTTGTGGTTATTTGTTTTCAAGTTTTGAATGCGTAATGACATGGTCAAGTTGAACAAAGAGGTCAAGGATGTTTTTCTTGAATTTTATTGTTTTAATTAGTTATGAGATTTTCCACAGAGCTGTGACTTTAGGAAATACACTGAATTTTATGAGGCCTAATGTAGGATAAGAAGACAAAAGCAGTTCTGACTGGATTCACCGGAAGGAGAATGATCTATGGGGATTTGGTCACCGAATGACTAATAGAGATGAGTCAGATTTAGGGAGTAAGTTCTTTGTGGCCCAGCTCAAACAGTATTTTTATATCTATAGTTAAAAAAGCTGGGCATCAGTTCTAAAGGCTTCACAGTGCTCCTCGGGCACATATGTGCCTGATCACTGACCAGCATTCTCCTGCTCTAAGCACTGTATGTGCACAAAATAAACGGCAGTCCTTATATTCTCTGGAGTAATTGGTGAGAAAAATTGTTGCTGGGAGTCCCAACACGTCTGTCATTTTTATTTATGTTGGGGTACAAGCTACAGTGGTATTATAATTTGGCAATCTGCTTTGGAGTCTGTGAACTGGGTTATTGCAATTGGTCAAACTGATTGTGGTCAATGTTTTGTGGAAGTTTTGAACTGTTTTTCGTTGTCCTAGGACAAAAACTTCAATTAGGCTTACTGCGCAGTACTTGTTTTTATAGAATAAATAGTGTATGTACTTTTTATGTTGCTCAGTCTCGAAGAGGTGTTGGGAAATTAACCTAATTCTTACTTTATCCATATGGAAAGATGTGGGACATATTGGAAGCTAGTTGCTTGAGCAGATCTTCTGGATTAGGCCCTACTGGCAAATTGTGAATTATTTGCTCTTGCAGGGTACAGGAACGTCAGCTAATGTTTTGCTTCAAGTGTTTCTTTCTCCATATTTTTAGATTGTACTCCGTATCTGAATTCGGTGGGAAAGCACGTGATTGGAGATGTGCAGAATATAACAATCAGTCAGTATTCATGTTATGAACAGGTTGCAGTGACGATACTTTGGACAGCAAATACCATTGGTAAGTAGTAGAAGGAAAGGACTAATTCATCGTCACCAACTTTATGCTAACCAGGATTAATTAAAATAATTGAATTATTCTAGGAAAGCATTGAAGCAAAACTGCTTAAAAGGAAAGCAATTCTGAACAGCTTTGCAAAGCTGCTTCTTTTAATATGTCATTTGATATAGTCTGGAAACTGAGGTACTCTCTGGAGCACATACTACTTGTCACTATTTCAGTTTGTTGATCTTCCCCTCTTCAGTACAGTACAGTGTTTTGTTTTCTGCCACAAGGCATTGGTGCGTTTTAGTGGCATTGATCGAGGTTAGTTGCTGAAACACCCATAAAGGTTCTTTAGGATGCAGATTATCCAAGTGTTTTTTTTAGTGGAAAACACTATTCAGTCATGGCTATACAGAATCTTAGAGCAGGGTCTGTGCGAGGTCTGTTCACTAAGAATATGTTTCGATCACTTAAAAGAAGGGACACTTGGGAGTACCTTGTTGCCCGCTGGAGGGCGCTGTCTCTGTACCAACTCCCAGCTGGTCCGTCCTTTCTTGCATACAAGTGAAGGTCCTGAACGAAGTAATTTTATATAAGCTTATTTTCTCTAGTAACTGGTTTAGCAAATGAAAGGCCAGAGTTTTCCTTCTCGAGTGTTTTAATGCTTCATTAAAAGATTTGAAATGCAAAGGTGCTTTTCAATATCAATTAAATCGTTATAATTTGAATTGAGCTCAAAGTAAAGCTGAGTTGAGTACAATTTTGAAAATTAAAACAGAAAATTGTTTGCTTCAAGTTTTTTTCTCACACAGCAGAGTCTTAACTTGGAATTTTATGGCTCATACTCCCTCAAAAAGTTTTAAAATGAGTTCTTCCAGTTTAATAAAAGAGCTAAAAGTTCTCATCGTAGTGGTAGGAATGGATCATAAATGATGAGATTTGACTAATAATGAAAATATTTGTTTATTGAACTTGATTTACGTTTTAGCATATAGCTGCATTTATTAAATCAAACATTTTAGACAAGAAAAATTGTCAGTTTCTTTGTGACCTCCCTGTATTAAATCAAGTTTTCATAATTTTGTTCAATAATAGAAAATAATGATAAATTACTGGATTTTAAGAGCATGTGTGGAACTTGCCCTTAATGCTTTCAACTGCACAGAGTTGCTGAATTTGGTGATCTACAGCTGCAGACTACATAAATCACATCTCTGGGGGAAACAAAGCTCGGTATTTCTTCTTGTAATGATCAGAGGTTAATCCTTTGGAAAGAGTCAGGACAGAACTGCTGTTGAAGTATCTGGGGTAACAGAGGAACTGGACATGTTCTCGTTCATGGTCTTCACATTAGTGCAAACAGAGCTTCTGCTCCATGGAATATTAACACATCGGGCAACTCGTGGTCTCTCTCTAATATAAGATTATAAAACATTAAAAAACAATAACAAAAAATCCCTAGTGAAACAAAAGAGGTTCATGGAAGATTTAAGACTTTCTTAATTTGACAAGCATACTATAGAGTTAGTTAATTCATTTTGATTTATGTAGTATTTAGCTTACAAAGACTGTGGTTGTGTCCTTGCTAAATATGTATTCTGGCATATGTAATGCTATTGAAAAGTTATGGTTAAACGGTTGAGGAGCTGGGCAGCAACTTTGGTACCTGAGGCATGAAACTACAACAGCCTAACACCCTAACGTTGTCCTGTGACATTTGCATCAGTATGACACAGTGTAATGAGGTAATGAAGTTATGCTATGATGTTCTCATTGCTAAGAAATGTAAAGAAACCATGCTGAGAGTCTGTTGTGTTAGAGTAACTTGAACAAAATGGGTGTAGTTCTGGCCTCACATATAAATAACTGGAAGTGTTCACTCACCGGAATAAATTCCATTCCATTTAAGTCAGTTTTTCTGTTTCCCTGTACTAGATCCTGTTCTATACTAGACCTAAAGAAGGCATAACAACTGCTATCACTTTAGTCCAGTAGCCTTGTAAATGATATAAATGTGTTATAAAAGAGTATTTCTATAATACGCTAGCAAAATGTCATATTATATTGCTAATAATGGGAATATGAGGTTACTGGTAACATGTTACTGAGGTTGCTGATGGAAGTAATGATTATTTCTATTGCAGTGATAATTCGGAAGGCCCAGCTGAGGTGTGGGCCCCTCTGCTCTAAGTATTGCACAAATATGTAGTAATTACAGCCTTTGCCAAAGACTGAATTCTAAGTAGATAAGGTAGCAAATGTGGGAAGAACTGACATACAACCTGCAACTCTTAAAAAAACATTCCATATGAATGGTAGGGATTATTTTTAAAGACAAATGAAGTATATTCAAGTTATATAAAATATCATAGTATGCATTTTGAAATATTAGTCCTCTATTTAATGTCCTGCTGTTTGCAGGGATTGAATACCTAAAAGGATTTCGAGTAATACTTGAGGAATTAAAATCAGAGGGAAGACAATGTCAGCAGATGGTTTTAAAGGATCCAAAGCAACTCAGCTCCAGTTTTAAAAAAACAGTAAGTGCTTTGTTTCAAGAAATGCTTCACTGTTGCTTGATTGTGCAAGCAGTCTTGAAATTGTTTATATGCTTTGTTTAAAAATGTGTGAATATATAGTAAATATATACGTAGTATATTTTATAATATGTATATAGTATTACATATGTTATCTTTACATACGTTGTCTTTACACTATATATTCTTTTATATATAGTCTTCTCTCTCTCTCTCTCTCTCTCTCTCTCTCTCTCTCTCTCTCTCTCTCTATTTGTTTTTCTTAGATATATATTTAATGTACTGTTTACTGGAGAGCAGATTGCTTCCTAATAGTATCATTCTTTAAACTAATGGCAGTTGTTAATATGGGGATAAATCTGTCCCCCTCTACAGAAGCTTTCTGGAGTCTGGAACCTGTCGTGAAATCATTTTGGGCAACAGTGCAGCTCAGGTGTACCTCTGCAGTAGACCATATCCCACCTCTGTGTGATGCTTCCTCATGTCAACATAGAGTGGAGGGATAGGCCAAGGGTTCTTAATGTATTAGTTTCTGCTCATGTCTGCAAGAATGGTGGGTTTGTTTTGAAAGAACGTACTCTAAATCACAGTAATTGGTTAAAAAATATATTGCAATCTTATCTTTTTGTAGGGAATGGAATCTCAGCCTTTCATAAATCTGAAGTTTGAAACGGATTATTTTGTAAAGATTGTTCCTTTTCCTTCCATTAAAAACGAAAGTAATTATCACCCATTTTTCTTCCGAACTCGACGTAAGTACTGCATACAATATGGTACGACTTTAAATGGAATGAGAGTCTTGGTTAAGATAGTCATGGCCATCATCTTTAAAGTAAGATTCATATCCAGTCTGAGTGTTAAGTGGAATGAATTTGGATGCCACAGGTTAATCTGTGGTGTATGATCCATATCATCCAACAACCAGAAGAAAGGTCTCAGGTCAGGCCTGAGACTAGCTCAGGTCTTCCTACAGCAGGCCTACTCCCATGTTTCTCAGGAAGGTTCAACCCATAAAGATGGTTCACCTTGTGAATAAGCTCAGATTGCTTTTGTTTTTGAGATCATGGTTTCAAAAATGGATATCTAGAGATAGATGAGTACATACAGAAATAGATAGCAACATATCAAGTTGAATTTCTCAATTACTGAGCAATTAGCAACTCTAATGAGAGAGAGAGAGAGAGGAAGAATGGAAGGGAAAAGAAAAAGAAAAGGAGCTTGAATAGGGTCCTGTGTGTAGGCGCTTAAACAGTATGATGAAAATCTAACCATAGGCGTACCTTTAGGTAAAAAGTTGGCATTTGTTCTGCTTGGATTTTGTTGCTCTATAAACTTTTCTGAAAATGTTTTCAAGCTTATTTGTTGATGCTGACAAAAAATAACATTTGTCCCAGTAATACGTACTTACTTTGAGTAGATGTATTTGTTAACAAAGACCAGTTTTGACTTCTTTCTCCCCTGCTGAGCTGTGCCTGGTGCAGTCTTTTTTGTGTCACTAAGGCATGCTGTTTCCATATAAATGACCTTGTATTTCTCATATAAAGATGAGAAGGGACTTGAACTATAACAAGGAAACTGAATTTGCTAAATATATTTACTCCATGCATATTAGAGGCTGGAAAAGAAATGAGAATTATCTTAAAAATGATGAAGTAGCTTCCTTTTTTTGTCCCCTTTCCTTTCCTCTTTATGTAGCATAGCATTTGAGTACTGTTTGTCCCCTTTCCTTTCCTCTTTATGTAGCATAGCATTTGAGTACTGTATCATTAATAATTTTTGTGTGTGCTTGTAGCATGTGAATTGTTGCTACAGCCAGAAAACCTCGTCTGCAAACCTTGTAAGTAAAATGTCATACTTCCCATGTATTTATCTTACAAAAAAGTTATTGTTCTTGAAAGAGTCATTTGTCAATTTGTGAGTATCTCCTCTGACAGACTGGAAGCCAAGGAATCTGAATGTGACCCAGCAAGGCTTTAACATGCAAGTGTCTTTTGATCATGCACCGCACAACTTTGGGTTTAGATATTACTTTCTTCACTACAAACTTAAGCATGAAGGACCGTTTAAGCAGAAGACCTGCAAACAGGTACATCACTAAGTTTTGCAACTCTTAAAAGCACAAAAATCATTAACATAAAGTTGCTGTAAAACCTTAGAACATTTAAAAAGTTAATATAATTTAGAATTCTATCAATTTTAAAACTTTAAACTATTTTGTTATTATTTAGGTAAGTAATATTTGTGTTGTGATAGGACTCACCAGCCAAAACCAGGTTTGAGGTTTCCATCGTTGCTGGATACTACAAGCAAATGGGAGAACACTGTTCTCCCTCTTGAAGACCCTACAGCTAATTAGTACTTTAGTTTTTTTTAATGTTTGCAATAAATATTCTTTCTTATTTTGTGCTTGCATCTTTGCCCTAATTTCACCACTTTACAACTTACCAACTAAGATGATATCACAAGACAGCTCATTTAAAAAGTGAGTTAGGCTGTCTGTGTTGAGTGTCGAAGTTACTAAGTGGTTTCTCTGGACTTAAGTCTGTTTTTTATCATAGACAATGGGCGCTGTGGAAGAATTCTAAACTGTCAGACTTTGGGATCCATTCATCATTGTCTTATACCCTTATAAAAATACATGAGTTGTAGAAATGTGTGCAGAACTAAAATGCTGGAATTTGCATTGAGCTCCCACTGATGTCACTCAGAAAACCAATATGAAATGAGAGGAATTGGCCTTCTCCATGTTTAAAGTTTGTTAACTAAGGATGCATTCAAATTTGAGACCATTAATTAAAATCTTTTTGTGCTACTGTGTCTTCAGTCTGAAGAATAAAAATAAATCAGTACATGAATTCAGAAAAATGTTACAGTGATTCTGCATGGCTGTGTGCTCATGTCTTCTTATGGGAGCTGTGATTTGCTCTATTGTTTCCCACAGCTTTGTTGTTATTTCCTGTGATTTGATGGCTAGTTTGTTATCAGTGGTCAACCTTTGATCCTGAGTCTCTGAAAGCTAGGAAGCTTCAGGGCATAGTGTAGAGTTTATGTATTAGACCAAAGTTTTAAGAGTCTTTTGAATAATCAGTCATAAATATTTGAGTTCTGCAGACAGAGGACTGTAGTCCTTGGATATTTGAATAGAGAGACTTAGTTTTGCTGGTGTAAGGTGTCTTGGTACAGCAGGGCAGTGTACATTTCTAACTCAGTAACAAAGTGACTGTATCTTCTATTAGGTTTTAAAAGTATGTGAATTGCTTGCACAATATTCTCTTTCTTTTATATAGGAGCAGAACACAGACACTACAAGTTGCGTTCTTCAGAATGTATCTCCAGGGGATTATATAATTGAGGTAATATTTACAAATAATAATTTATACAGTAGCTAGATAAGTATGTTAATGAGGAATTCATTGAAATTAACATTCTTCAAGCCAAAATCTTTGATAAAATTGGACTTCAGGCATCACTACTGAAGTAAATTGGGCAAATAAACATTTTAGATCGTTCTTTACCTTTCCATAGCTTTGCTTCCCTAAGCATACAGCACCTTCACCTGGGCCTTCAAGTAAAATTGTGGGCCTGGATTACTCTTAGACTTTGATTCTTAATTGGAATTAAAAGCTGTTTATTTCTTTTGATGTTGATGATATGTGAATGCCGAAAGTTAAGTATCACAATATAATAAGGCAATTAAAAATAAATTATGTAGCAACAAGAAAAAATGCCTTCATTACTTACTAGTTTTGGGTGCTCTTTAATTGTAACTTTTTGAATGATAAGTTTCTTCACATTTGGTACTGAATGCTGTTATAATCTTTTACTTATGCAGAAATTTTTTTTTTCACAAATTAAATAAAATTCCCACAAAATAAAATTCAACTTTTACTTTTCAAAGCTGGTGGATGACACTAACACAACAAGGAAAACAATGCATTATGCACTAAAACCAGGTATGATTTTTTTTTTTTAACGCTGTGCAGTATTTATTTAGATTCAATTTTAATTATATTGGAAATAAATGTTGATTTGACGCATGGCCGTTTGCTACAATCCAAGACTATTGAGGCTTAGCTCTACTTTTAAATGCAGTTCTACTGTGATCTTTTGACTTAATGAAAAAAGAGTACTGATGCACACTCATGCATGCACATATGTATACGTTTTTATTTAGTGCAGTTTAGATCAATATACAATTGGAAATCTTTGTGGAAAAGTCATTTCTACTGTATACATGGTCATAGTCTGTATCTTAATTGCTTGCAAATGATGCATGTGGTTGTATGGAAATAATGTAATAAAACTGTGAGAGCAGCCTAAGCCTAACCTGACTGCAAACTTCAGCATGGAAATGAAAGTAAGCAGTCAGGAAAACCTGTTGAGGGAATGCTCAGCATCTCTCTGTATCAGACTAGTTATGGAGAACCTAAATAAGGATTTCAAAAGGTAACTGTAGAAACATAGCCACAGATGAAGGCAGTAGACAAGATGGATTGATTCTAATACATATTGATAAACCTAGTCTGTGCAGAAGACAGTGCTTTCTAAGTGGCTAGTCCAATACCCTAGAACAAAAAGCCAACAGGACCAAATGACTATTGCATATCTCATCAAAACGACTCTTCACATGAAGTTCTTGTCTTGGAGGGAAATATAAGTTGGAATATAGCCCTTCGTACTTATGCTAGTCGCTCTAATGCTGTGGTGATGAGGGCAAACAACATAAAATTTATTTAAAGTGAAGCAGAACATGACGTTTGCCTCTACTGTATATTTGAAAGTTAATGGAGAATAGTTTGCTGCAGCAGTTTTCCATTCCCAGTGTGAAGATATGATTAAATAATGATAATACAGCTTATTTACATAAGGCTAATTCTGCTTTATTTTTCAAAGTACACTCTCCGTGGGCTGGACCAATAAGAGCTATTGCCATTACAGTCCCCTTAGTCGTCATTTCAGCATTTGCAACGCTTTTCACAGTGATGTGCCGCAAGAAACAGCAAGGTAGAGTCAATATAGAGCTCCACTTAAAGGAGCACTTTTGCACCCGATAATGTCTCAGTAGGTTTGCTCCAGAAATACCTTTATCTGAAGAGCTTTCTTTTTCACCTTTCTTCCCTTCCCACAGCTTTTTCATGTGTCAAAACTTTGCAAACTCTTGTAGCAAACTTTGTAAACTTGTAGCAAACTCTTAATCCTGTGCTGATGGTAATTTCTTGCCATAGACAGTATTATATCACAAATCAAGACTTCACCGCCCAGTCAGAGGACAGAACAGAAGAGTTGTTGGGAAATATTTTTGGTATGGGGTTTCTTTTTAAAAATATCAATTTGTGACAGTACTGCATGACCACATAGAATACAAACAGATCTGTAAGTTGATATATTTTCAACATTCCCTTATTTCATGCAGAAATGTTTAGTTCATATTTATTTCAAACCAGAAACTAAAACCATATATGTGATACCAATATAGTCCACAGCACTGTCTGGAATGTTACCTCTATCTATTTTTCCAGACTTGCTCGTTTTCCTGGAAGTTGCCTTTAAACTTTATGCTAAGCCTTCTCCCTAAATTTATTCTTCCTAAGACTTGCTTGCAGATGTTTCTCTAAATTAGATTCCATCTCTCTCTGCTGACTTCTCTCTCCTCTGTGTCCAGGAGCTGGCAAGCCACACTTGTTACATTGAGATGTTAAAAATCAATTGGCATTTTTTTTTTTTGGTAGTATCTTGGGAATTGTGCGGTTTCATGAATGTGGAAAAAGAGATTACATTCCCCAAACCTCAGATGTCTGTATTCTCCATCTGAATTTTGGAAATGAGGCATACTGCAAGTGCTGTATGCCATCTGGGTTAAATCCTTTTACCTTCTGGTCTTCTGTGGCTATCCCCTAGCTCACAGCTAGCACAGTTCCAACAAAAAACAGACAACCACTGAGGATTTGTCTACAGAGAGAATTGTTCCAGAACAGTTATTCATGATGAATCGTTCTAAAATAAATCTCTAGATGGATGCTTTTGTTTTGATACTCACGCTTTATTCCAAATTAGTTTAATCAACTGTAGAACTAGATTAAGAATTATTTTGGCATAAGGCGCTTACTTTCTGGCATAAAAGCATCCATACAAAGGAAGAAATGCAAATAGCTGTTTTGATTTAAATTGATACTATCTCATTTCAAATTAATGTCAAATTTATGTTGAAAAATGTACATGTACACCAGAGAATTACTACATGATGTTCTGAAGGTGTGTGTGTTTCTGCAAGTTAGTATTCTTACTTTGCTTGTGTCACTGTTTTAAAAAAGAGATTCTCTCTTTGTTATGCAGGAAACTTGATAACAATATATCTTTGAGGCTGATAGTTTTTGAACAGAAAGAGGATGATTGTTGAAGCTGGACAGAGGTGGAACAACCTCATTCTATTTACAAAACAAACCGTTCTTGAGAGTTTTCTGAGTTGTACAGTAATATCTGCACATCTCACTTTCCAAGTGTGTTCCACATGTGTCGCAGCTCAGAAGCTAGGAAATAGAGGATGTGCAAATTATTCCTTTTCCGTCCCACACTCAGAAGTATATCTTTTGGATAAAATCTTTACTGTATGAGTAATGAGCCGAAAAAGGTTTAAAAATCTGATCTTTTATGGTGTGAACTCTCTTTCTTCCAATTTAGAAAATATATATTCTCATCTAGATGAGGAGAGCTCAGAATCTTCAGCATATGCTGCAGTGCTCCACGTGGAAAGACTTCGTCCCCGGCCAAAAGTGTTCATCTGCTATTCCAGTAAAGATTGCCAGAAACACATTAACGTCATCCAATGCTTTGCTTATTTTCTTCAGGACTTTTGTGGCTGTGAGGTAAACTCAACGTTTCTTCTCTAAACAAGTAGAGTTGCCTTAATTAAAACAGTATCCCCAAAAACTCGTGATAATGTGTGTTTGAAAATAGAATATGTCAATCGCACCTTTCCACAGCATATAGTTTTCACTATCCTCCTACGTATTGCCTACATAAATTTTTTGCGCTTAGGGAAAGTAACAAACCATAGCTTGCATAACGGACAGATGTGTACTGCATTGATTCTAGGACTCTCATTTGGTCATGTTTAGCTTATTTAATACTAACTGCTTCTTCTGTTTAGTAGGTCTAGTGTCTTTATAGTCTGCAGTCAAAAAGAGATGTTATAGTCTACCTAATCTATTTCAGCATTCCTAAAATATCTTTTTTACTGTAACTTTGATGTGGTGATACCAGACATGAACACTTGAATCTATCAAAAATTCTGTTTGCACTACAAAATCTACCTAATGAGGATTAATTGTTGACATTTTGTATTGTTATGGTTGAATGTTTTACTTCCTCTCTGTTCCTTTGATGCTGTAAAATCAGCATATTTTTTATTTTTTGATTCAAAGCTATGAGAAAGACATCAAAATTCCTATCTGAAAGACTAGGCTCAGAATCTGACTGCTTTCTCAAATGTAGTAAAAATGGGGGAGGCAATTCACTTTTCACTTGTAAAAAGGCAAGACAATTATTAGCTTATTTTTGTTGCATTTTCACAGTTCCTGCCACTGTGATTCTCTATGTATGAATCAAAACTGTTTTCTCAATTATACAACAAGTCTGACCCCTACTGGCTAAACATATTAGGCAAAATAATTAACACATCACATATTTGGGGTTGCTGACAATTTATTCATATGCTTAAAATGGTTCAGGTAAGGTGTTTTATAAGTAATTTCCTTGAATCCCCTTTCTTGATAAGTACTTTAGCACTACAGTACCAGACCTCTTTGCAGTAGTGTTAAGGTGAGCTGTTACCACTATGCATATGTACCATGGGACGCATAGCATGAGGCATTGTTTAAGTTTTATCGATTGTATAAATAAATTATTAATAGAATCTACACAGGGAAATAATGCATGTTGTTATTAAAGCTAGTGGGGTTTAATATAAAAAGCGAAGCTCAATGTATAACAGAAAGTTATATTTGGCATATGGAATTGGACTATTGTCTTATAGAGACAAAAGCAATGGTATTTAATAAGACACTTAAAATAATAACTTGACATACTAAAAATCCTTTCTCATAGAGAGACGTTCAGATAGTATTTTGAAGAACAGAAACAAATATCTTGGACACAGAAACAAGATTGCCCGCATTATACCGTATCGGCGCAACTCATGAGCAGCTGTAAAATGACCTTCTCCTCCCCATGCATATTTATTTTCTTCCTGTACCTGACTTTGCCGTAACAGTTTTCATGAATTCATGTGTTTTAGGCATTAAGCTGGTCTGTGTCTTCTGACATGACAAAGTTTTCTGCTCTTAGATAGGTAACAGAGAAAAAAAATAATATTTTGTTCTCTAGGAAAACGCTAGGTTTTGGAAGTGGTTTTGGTTTTGCTTTGCGTCCGTTCTAAAACTTTGCTTCTGTTTTGCTTGTTTATTCTACTAGTCATTCTTTCTTTCTTTCAGGAGATAAAGCACTATGGCTTTCATTTTGGTGTGCACAGGCATTTCAGACCATGTAGAATATTCAGAAAATTTGCCAAGTATAAAATAAAACAACTCTTATGATAAAATTTTAGAGCCTTCTTATCAGAGATGAGCTGCTACTTTTTTGCATCCTACCTAAAAGGACTTGTTGTTATAAATACTAATCATCTTTGCATCTAGACGTGAAAATTCTTGGCACCAGAGTTCATTAATGGGCAAAAGATTATAAAAACATGTATTTTCATTACATTCAACATGTTAAGGAGCATACTATACAATAGTAAAACTATATGAGGCAGGCACTGTATATTATTTGTTGCAGTTTGATGATATCTAATTTGATCAGATAGCTAAATATATGATGGGTAAATAGTATTTTACTTAGTCTACCCACATTTTCTATGCTCTTTTTATTCCCTAAGAAATAATGCCATATACCAAATCCATAGCATTTTTTAAATACCTGCACAGTGTACATTCAATTATTTGGCCTTGCACTATTATTTGTGGATTCAATAAGTTTATAAATGACACAGGTATAATTAGGTAGGTTTCTCTTTGAATAATAAATAAGCAGCAAAACAGGTTCATATAGTAACTAGCTTTCCTTTTTATCTTAGCAGTCGCACACTTCCCAAACCCAGTGCAATATTCAGCCCTCAGGCAAAGTTTAGATTAAATGTGAGGCCTTCTGTATTTTGATGATAGTTAATACGACTGATTCTAGTTTTTCCACTTCAGTGCTACCTTAACTATTACTTATTTCTGTTTTAAAATAGCTTACGTTTGCATCAGGGACAAGTTATAGTTGGACTCATTATTAATAGTTCTGAATTGTCCTATAAGCACAAGCTGGCTCACTGAGTATTAATAGCTCATTTAGATTTCATTAGTAACTAAATCTAATCATATAATCTAATAATAAATATCAACCACTATGTTCTTTTCTTTTCCAGGTGGCTCTAGATTTATGGGAAGATCTAAAAATTTGTAAGGAAGGGCAGAAAGAGTGGCTTATTAAAAAAATGAATGAGTCCGAATTTATCATCACTGTATGTTCCAAGGGAATGAAATACTTTGTTGAAAAAAAGAACTGGAAACCCAGAGGGGTAACCAGAGATGCAGGGAGAGGAGAACTCTTTCTGTTTGCTGTGTCAACTGTTGCAGAGAAGCTTCGTCAGGCAAAGCAGAATTCAAATGACCTCGGCAAGTTCATTGCAGTCTACTTTGATTACTCCTGTGAAGGAGACATCCCTGGTATTCTGGATCTAAGTACAAAATACAAACTCATGGATAATCTTCCTCAGCTTTATTCCCATTTACACTCCAGAGATCTCAGCCTACAGGATTCAGAGCTGTTTCCTGTGAACGTTAGTAAAAGGAATTATTTCAGAAGCAAATCTGGACGATCCCTTTATGTTGCCATTTGCAATATGCATCAGTTCATTGATCAGGAACCAGACTGGTTTGAGAAACAATTTATTTCTTTTCCTCCATCTCCTTTACATTACTCGGAGCCTGTCATGGAAAAATTTGACTCAGGCTTGGTTTTAAATGACTTAGTGAGTAAACAGATGACGGATGCTGATTTTTACCTGAAAACAGATGGAAATGTTATTTCGGTTGCAAATGCAGACTCCCATTGTATAATTCAGCACTTAAACCTTGGAGAAGATATAGAAACTCAGGACATTCAAGGCGGCCGTTCTGTTCTTCAGCCGTTGTTACATGTTGTTAAAGCTTCCAATCTTACAGATATGCCTCGAGATTCTGGAATCTATGATTCGTCTGTTCCTTCATCTGAATTATCTTTACCTTTAATGGAAGGACTGTTGACAGATCAAATTGAAACATCTTCCATTACAGGAAGCGTTTCTTCATCATCAGGTTTAGGTGAGGTACAGCAGTCGCTTTTAAAATTATATTCAGTTGTTGTGGGCACATTTCTACCATCTCAAAATATTTAAGATACTATGCAAGGAGTCATATAAAAAAATGCAGAGGATGGTAGGCATTATATGAAGATGGTCAAAAAAGATAAGTTTTCAGTAACTTTGGAAAAAGTCATCTTTCCCTTAACTGATTAGGGGGAGGGGATTCTTGGCTAAATAAACTTTCATTAAAAGTATATTAATAAGTCACATTTCATTAATTGACCTAATTACTAGAGAGATGGCATCTTTCTTCCAGCGACTTCTTGGCAGCTGAGATACTCAGATGAGAGCTGTGTGATTTAATTGGGAGAGTAATATGGTGAAGCATTCTTACGGAAAGGCCTTAAGTCTAAAACTGATAGCCTATTTTGGAACGGTCAAACTTTCTAGATTCAGTCCCACATATTAAGCAGTTGATTTCATTTTGAAGAATGCCTCCAAAAATAGGGTATAGTCTGTACCATGGTTAACTCAAGGTTCAGAATCACATTAGGCTTCTCATTGGATTGGGAATGGGAGGAGTGAATGGAAGGGGTTCAGTGGAGGAATTTAAATGCTCTGAAGACACTCTCCAAAATAGATACCCAGATTAGATGCCTACGGTTAGATGGTGTAAGTATTCCCTTAGATAAACAGCTGATCTGACCTTACTCATTGCAATACAGTGAGCTGGTGTCACAACTAGAGCAAAAAGGAATGTTCCAGCAATTGTATTTATAGTTATCAAAATGCCATTTGCTGAGATCTTCCCTAAGCAGCTACAACAGGTGAATATGGCACTTTGGTGATTTATTATCATGCTTTCTTGAATGAATATTAACAGAGTGAACTGTCTTTCTAGTCTTTTCTCTTACTTAAATGGATCTTTTTGTGATTATTCAAGTGATTAATAAGTAGTGTTTGATGCCAGAATTACCTCAGGGAGGGAATAGATAGATATTGATAGACACAGCATCTAGTCTCTATGAGAAAATTACTAAAAACTGTGGTTTTTTTTTCTTCCGCCTGTGAAAAAAGTATAGTTTTAGTGATTTAGTTCTATAAGCAATAAATACGCAGTTATTGTTTCAAAATTCATATTATATTAATTTCCTCCCCATCTTCTAACTTACCCTTTTCTTGTAGTTGTGGGAAAACATACAGACTATATTTGTAAGGTTCGGGTATGTGTTGGACAAAAGTAGGATGTTGGTTTTAGATGTGTGGCCTCTCTGTAAGAATTGCAGTATTTCCCTCCTGATTCAGTCACAGAACTGGCAGCTGAGTATCTCAGCTGCCAAAGAGTCCCTGGAAGAAAGAGGTGGTTTCTCAAGTCACGTATCTACTTGTTAATGTATTCCAGCTATAGAAATTAAAAAATGTAACACTAGCTGGTAGAGGTGAACCTTAACATTGATGTTCCAACAGTCAGAGAAATCAAAAGCAACTTCTGGCGTTTCCCCAGTTACCATCCCAGTCCAAAAGCACCACCTTGATCTTGTTGGACTGAGTCTCATTCAAACCTACTCTCACCCAAACCACAGTCCTAATTAGATACTGGGTACAAATGAGACAGTATTTAGAACTGCTCATCATCTGCCTGTTAAATTGCAACCCATTAAATCTTTTTACTGTCCCAGTTATGCAAAATAGTGACACCTCTAACGTTTATAGCCCTAATAATGAGATGAGTAAATAAAATTTTGTAGCTTGTAGTCTTGTTCGAAGAATTGGATATGTCCAAATTACTACTTTGAATTCACAGTGTAAGATACCATTTATGTTCTGGCTACCCATTTTCGGTCTATTACTTGGTCAGAACAGAAATGAATAGCTCTGCTGTTTAGCAGTGAGTACACACATCTCAGGGTAGGTCTTTCCTTTTCTCTTTATAGGACAATAAATATGCTTTCATAGTTTGATTGAAACTAATAAATCATATAATTTGTAACACTTTTTATCTTTCAGTGCAGTTCATATACAGACTGCTCTTTCACAAAGAAAAGATTTTCAAAGAGATGGTCAAATTAGGCACAATCCACTCAAGTTCAAACCAGTATAATATTCGGGAGGGCCCAACACTCAAACCTTTAATAGGTCCATTTACTAATAGCATTTTCTACAAGTAGTCCTGTCTGGGGAGAAAAATCCTATTAATCCTTTAGATAAGGAGTTACTGAGTATGGTAGTTCAGCCTTAGGAATAAGGCACTGTGGCACAGAGGGTTTTCACAAGTTTTCCTTTGCATTGTTTCTAGAATGTTGAACAAATAAATTTATTGTCAAAATAATCAACCTCATTTCTTTTTTCCTTTTATAGGGGAAGAAGAACCTCCTGTAATCACTGCCACAAAGTTCCTAGTGCCTGGAATATATAAAGCAGAACTTCATTGCCATATCCATACTGACGAACTGCAGGCAATTGCACCTTTGTAATACGTTACAACATTGTTATGCATTGCCACTTTATCAACAGCCTCTGTTTGTGCTTTAACTACCACACTATCCCAGCACTAAACCTGCTTGAAGGAACAAAGATTCCCTGAAGACCTGCTATTCCTAAGGGATTTTTATAGCCAGTAAACTTGAACCTGTCAGTCGTTATTATATCAAGTCTTACATGATTTGAAAAATGCAGCGTGGAAAAATAGATGAAAATACACTTCAAAATCATTCCTATTTCTAACTTACATTTCATGATCATATTACACTGTTTACAGATGCCATAATCAAAAATCACTTTTTTTCCCTAGAAATAATCTTGCATTTGGACAGAAAATTGCTTGGACCTTTAAGTCTTAGTAAATTTTATTGTCCGGGCTCTTGTTTTAAGTGCTGACGTACTTGATGACAGGATTATTTTAGTGAATGAGCAGCAGGGTTTTTTTCAGAATCAACATAAAATGCCAAAGGTGAGATCACGTGATTCTCCAAAGGAGAATTCCAGTTCTTTTAGAAATATTTGAGCTCCTTTCCTCACACTCTTCTCTCCCTTTCCTAAATGGTAATGTGTCTCAGACTTCAATTTCAAATAAGAGCATGTCTCCCACTTCAGTATGATTCTCCTTTCTTTCTCCATAATCTGGCTATGATGGCTCACAAATAATAACATACTGAGCCTGAAAGTATCATTTTTACAATCGAAAAAAATTCCTATATATGCTGACTGAGTGATACCATGGAAACTTAGCTTCCTGTTTTCTTCCTGGAAGGGTTGATATGAAGAATATGTCAAAGAGATGGGGGAAGGGAAACCAAATTTTGTATTTGTTCAGGGCATCGTTCTGTCTTTGTTCAGCCATGAGAGGAGCGTGCTGTGTGGGGAATTTCTGTTATCCTTCAAGAACATGCTGCTACAAATTCATCTGGGGTAAAACAAGTTAAGACAAGCAGTTAACTTACATAAGTACTTTAGTTCATGTTGATCAACCACTAAACAGAAGCCTATGAGTTATTTTGAAGTCCCCAGTACTTACCATTACTTAGTGATTAAGATGGTATAATATTACTAGTGTTATGTTAACAAAACACTAAGAATACAACTAGTCTTGTTTGTCCAAGCAAATCTGAAGACAGGGAGCATGCAAGTGCTTTCTTCTGCAGTGATGATGTAGCTGTATCCTCATCCAAAGTATCACTGCTGCTTCCAAAGAGTAACTTGATCAGTAAAACTCACCTGTATAACTGCAATTCTAGGCACTATTTTAACATATATGGTAACAGCAAATAATAAAAGACACCTAATCAGTGTGCCTCATGCTAAATTTGTTCATGGAGTCAGAGTCTGTCCCTTGTTTCAACTGTCCTCAGGCTCCCTCAACAGGAGATTACTTGAGAAGTGTAGCCAGGGAGAACTCAAACACCTCAAATGTTCTCTCCGTTTTGGTAGAGTAGAATTAAGACATTGCTAATTGTTACATTGTATTGTCCATTTTAATAGCACAAGATAGAACTCTTAAACCAGTAATGATTTTCTTCCTGTGGTAACTTGAGCTGGGGGGGGGTGGGAGGGGCAGGGAGGGCCAAAAAATCAGGCCACCCCTCAATTCTGTGTGAAATTTTGTGAATTGTTATTTTTGGGTTCTGACTTGTTCGTCATTGAGTCATTTCATTTTAAAACCCCTGTTGTATTTTTTTTGGTCAGTTTATATTTAATCATATAAATGTCCAAACAAAAGCCTCTTTCTTGAAATTGCTCTTGCCACAGATGCATTAAGAAAGGTCTGTACAACTTTCATGCATAAGATGTAACAATTATTTGAGTGTAGCCATTGATGGCAGAACTCCAGCCTGCTTTGCAATTGTAAGACAGAATTATACTATGATGAGGTTGTCAGATTTGGATGGCCATGTTCACTAGTGTAATGTTTTGTACTGTCCCCATTTTCTGAATTTGAAAGAAAAGTAACTGGAAAACTATAAACTTACAATAGCTAAGTAAGTTTAGGTAATTCTTACTACACAGTGAATTATCTGCACCTTCAGTAATGCTTTCTGTATACTGTGCCTTGAGCTGTACTGAAAACAAAATTCTTCATGTTTTCCTGCTCTTTAAAGTAGAAAAATACCTGGGTTTAACAAGGGAGAATAATTTAGAGGTAAATGCTCCTCTACTAAATCCAGCTATGTAGGACCTTGATTCAGTGCAATTTGTGCAGTTTTACTAGAGAAAGAGTTTGGATTGATGAGACATGCAGAAAATGTACACAAGTTGAGTGCTAAGGAGCTGCTGTCCACAGAAACGCCAAAGGACATTGCCAAATGCCAAAGGACAAGGAGGTAGGCTGAGGCAGTTTCTTAGCAATTAGATGGTGAAGGTGTAATGCTGCTTTCCTCAATGGAAGGTTTCAGCTCATCTACTGTTATTTTATGCTCAGCTAAAGATTAGGAAGATTTCCTGGTTCTGTTAAATTCAGTAGCAGAATTGGTATTATTTAATGTGATTAGTGTTTCCTTTTGAGCTCTAAGGAAGCTCTGTTTCAAAGACAGGCGGAGAATCACTTGCTACTAATGATTTTATTTTTACTTTTATTTTTAATTTGCTGTACAATCCTGCAAATTGTTATGTAATTATGATAGCTCTATGCAGATGCCAATCAAATACATTATAGAGGAAAAACTAAAATGAAGAATTCCTTCTTAGCATAAGGTGGAAACAGCATATTATGTGTCTTTGGAAGAAAAAGAATATAATTAATTGAAAATTTAGGGTAGGACAAACCATGCTTTAAAAATATGCAGAACTGAGAAAAATAATACTGATCTGATTTAGGAATAATTTTTTTATAAAGCCGCAATGCTTTATAAAATTAGAAAAATATTATTTGTATTGAGAGTAGGGAAGGGCATAGTACTGAATTTGCAAGAATTCTGTTTTTTTCTCACCAAAAAGAATACCAGCAGAAGTCCTTGTAAAAATATTTTTTAAAAGAAATATTTTAATACACATTTTAGAGGTTAGCTTACTACTCTTTTCAAGCATTAGTAAACTCTAAACAGAATGTAAACGGTAAAAGGATCCCTCTAATTACTACTAGATTCAAGTGTGTGACCATGCGATTGTTTCGATGTTTCAAAACATGTTTTCTAGGAGGGTGGAAAAAACATCGGAAAGCTAAAGATACAAGACATAGCTGTATATTCAACATTTTGTATGATAAATATAGCTGTTACCATAATTTGTACCTGTACTGTTGAAAATAGAATGCAGCTGATATTTGCAGAAATAAATTTTTTATACTGTAATTTAGAAGTTAAATTTCAGAATAAAACATTTTTGTTCAGTTTCTTTCACTGAGCTTTTCATAGGAGTATTAGAAGACTAAGCTTGAGAGTTCATTTGCATTCTTCTTTTATCCAAAACAGTGCAGTTATGCATACCCCATAAATAATCAGACTCTCACTGCTATTCATACTTAACATCGAGAAGTGAAATTGATATACGGATGGATTAATATAATCAAGCAACTGAAACAAACTGTAACTGTCTAAAAATTCTCTACTAGATAGACCGAGTCTGATTGTTTTTCTGAAAATAAGACTACCCTAATATGACTTTATATGATTATTTTCCCTATATCCTCCTTGAACATCCCCTAGCAGCACATGCTTCTGCATGTCAAGTGAAACCTACCCATACCAGCTACAAAACTATAATAGCCTGGATTGGATGACTTTGTCAAAGAAGCAGTGATGATAGTTGCATAAGGTTTCTATGCCCTTTTTTTTTAATCCAAATTGATTTTAAAGCACTGTTCCAGTCAATGAATCCTGCAAACTGTATTTCCAGGGATAAGCCTTGAAACAACTCATGCTCCCAATAAGGTAAATAACATTTTTTGTAATGGACTCATAATCCGGCACCATCAAACTTGGAAGACAACAGAAAAATCTGTTAATAAAAAAAAAGTCTGTAACAATCACTGTTACTATGTAAGAACTGAACTGCTTACTTAACAATGAGATACACATTAGCTGTGCTGAATCAATTTATGTTTTGAATCTACAGGAATGGTGTTTTAAATCTTTGTATGTGTCATTTCTCTGAGCCTCTATCCCACGATTCCTACTTCTGCTCCTATCACCAGGTAAATCAGAGATGTTCTGAAGGGTCACTAACGGCATTATTAGACAGGCTAAGTGGACCATTTCAACAACTTCAGTTCATCTCTATCCACAGCAGCATAAAAAAGTTAATATTGAGCTGGTTAAAGCTGAAATGGTTATTAAACTTCTTAAAAAGTGAGACTATTCGGTTGTTTTACAGCAAGGAAATCATGTTTAGATTGATATGCATATGGACATTTTAGAACTGGTTCTACTTTTCACATACAGGCTGTGTCAGTAGGTCATCTGCTTATAACAGGAGAAATGGGGAACTGTTGCAGTATACGGATATTTAAAACGAGAAGTGAAAGAATGCTACTGCAGTTAGAAGTTATTCTAATTATAAACTATTAGAAACTTTCAATTAGAACTACATTTATCTCTTTACATGTTTTATAAATGCACATACACATTTTACAAATACCCATATTTTAAAAGAATTACTTTAATACTTATATCACAGGTTTTTCAACTTACCTGTGTATGCTAGCCTAATATTTCAGCTGGGTTGTACAACTTGTGATATGTTATTACTTGGAGGAATGAACGAAGAAGCCAAGAAATGCTTTAAAACTGATAGCATATTTGGATTTTTAAAAAGACATTCAGGATCCGTTTTCATGGAATAAGACAGTGCTTCTTAAGGGCCTTCTGTGAGGTGGTCCGCATAGTGCTCTTGCGCATAAATAGTAATTCAAAAGAGAATTTATTTATCTGTGTTTGAACTGGACTTCTTCAAGGTATATTATCTAAATGTCTGTTCTGCAGTCCTAATCTCTGTATTTTATGCCTTGGAGCCCTGGACATTGGGGGCTTTGTAGTTGGGGGAAAAAAAAAAAAAAAGAAAGAAGGTGTTGCTCTTATTTTGAAGGTATACCTTCAGAATAAAACATGAGAACTCTCATGATGCCTCCCTAATGTATGGGGACTGTTGGCCAAAATTCTTCCACCTTGAGGATGTGGAAAGATATGCATCATTGTGGGGATGTGAATATGGATAATACATTTTGAAAAACTTCAGACAGGCAGTAACCTCTCATTTTTCTTTTTGGCTTGCATTTAAATATTGTGGTGACTTGATACTGAAATTTCACACACACAAACAATCTTTATTTGAATTATAGTCATAAAGCATGCACTGTACACAATATGTGCATTCAAACTATAAATGGTCAGACCTGAATTATTTCTAAAAGGTCAGAAGTTAAAGTTTGTGCTATAGATCAGCTGAAGGGATTTTCCCCTCAATATGCTATGAATTATTTTATTTTGCTTGATATCGCTCTATATTGCTATTTCCCAGACTCTTAAAAAATAGGACAATGGTCAGTTTATATATTGTATAATGAGATACAATTATTTATTCTGTTAGAACTGATTTAATAAAGTGTGATTTGCCTATAATGTGCCTTTTTATGGGCAGTTGCACTGTTGACAGTGATTTCATATTTGTTACAGTCCATGGAAAAAGCAGAAATTAGAACATATTGTCCTGTTCAAAAGAAGCGGGTTGGAAAGGTAACGTTTTTTCTTAGTTTCAGGTGTTACCTAGATGATCAGAAACTGAAGTGCTTGTCCTTACCTACATCTGTGAAAAAAGCTCAATTCTTGATTTGGGTGTTTTGCTCCAATGCAGATAGTTTGGGAAGATTGGGAATTTGAAAATGTTACTGTGAAAATAGGAAAGCTAAGGAAAAATTTAAATAACTTCTAGTTTACATGTCATTATAAACATTAGTTCAAGAAGAAATTAATATATGGAGAATTGTTCATTTTCTTGATCAATGAATAAAAAGACTTCATTTTTAATGCATATGGACCTATAACATTCAAGACTGATTTACAGTAGAAATCAAACCACCTTTTTTCCAGACTCTGCTGCTGGGTGCGCAGGCCGTGACGATCGCTGGAAGGCTGAAGC